GTAAAGCTGAATAGGACAGAGCCATGACCTAGCAAGTCACTTGGGACTTCCTTGTAGACCATTACCATTCATTTGTGACTATTCCGACTTAATCAGTGGTGACTTCTCTACCCAACATTCAGCCCATAGTTTCCCATCTTAATTACATGAATACAAACTCAGTCCCCATTAAAGGCCCTTCTTTTTGTTCTGACTAGGTTTTAAAGGTCCTTATTGTCTCCAGCTTTCCCCCCTAATTTCAGTTCATAGCCTTCCTGCTACAGTCATCACAGGAAATTGCCACTCATTTGTACTTTCCTTAGTTATATTCTTCTCCTGTTATCTTTTCTAGATTTATTCAACAAACATTTATTCAGCAACTAATATGTGCCAGGCAATGACGATACTGAGTAAGATGGCATCCTTGTCTTCAAGAAGTTCATAGTCTAATGGAGAACACAAGTAAACAATTATAATAGCTGCCATTCTTAATGCTTACTGTATGCTGAGCACAACGCTGAGTGCATTACATGCAGTATCTTATGTGATAGAGTAAGGTGGTTAAGTGTGAAGGCTTCAGAGTCAGAAAAGCTGGGTGCAAATCCTACCTCTGCTATTTCCTGCCTGTGTGACCACTCTGTGCCTTATTTTCTTCTCTGAAAAAACAGAAGAATAATAGTAGCTAATTCATAGGCTTATTCTGAGAATCAAATATTACAATACATGCAAAACACTTGGGATGGAGTAAGAGAACAATAAATGTTAGCAATTAGTATTTATCCTATCAATATCCATTTTAGAGATGAGGAAACAAAGTTGAAAGAGGTCATGTAACTTTCCCATAGTCAAATAGTTAATAAGTGGAGGAGTCTAAAGTTTGCTCTTAGCCATTTCCCTCTACTGCCTCTATAGTGTGATATGTGCCTTTATGGAATAAGGTTAAGATGCTATGGGAGGACGAAAGAGGAGCATCTAACCCCACCTCGTAGGAAAGGACTCAGGACAGCCTTCTAGAGGAGGTGGGGCTTCAGCTGAGCCTGGCAGGTCAAACAGGAGTTGGGCAGAGAAGGAGACAGGATGGAAGTGGAGGCTAGAGGTTGGGAGCAGGGTAGGAGCATTCCATCCAGACTTAGAAGCTTGCCAAAGACATGGTGAAATGAGAAATTGCAGATCCAGGTACTGCAGAATGGGTAGGGATGAGGCCCAAGTGATAACTGTGCCTTTGCTCCATTTGGGTTATCACAGCACAGCTTGTGATATAAGGGTGAGGTCACTGCTTTCTCCCAAGGAGGCTTTCTCTCCCAGTACACCCTCCCATTCTTCTTCAGTGGTCTGAGTTAAGTCCAGAGGGGTAAATCCTCTCCATACTCCTTCTACCTTTTGAAAGATTAACTCCTCATCTCACAGATGAGGCATTCAGCAAGTGTTCAGAGGACTGCAGTTCCTATCTCTATTCTGCTGTGTCCCTCTTTGTTTTGTGAACTATTTATGGATGGCTCCCAACATGCACAAATTCCCCCTTAACCATCTGTCACAGATTTGGCTTCCATACATTTAATATCAAGTCCTCTTGAATCTTTGTATCTTTACTTTGTGTCCCTTCTTAAGCTAGCATGTTCCATATGTTTGTTTACTCTCTGCTAAATAAAAATGGACTGATGGTTTTCTCTAAAATCATTTCCTTTCAAATCAAAAAGATATTTTTTGGTATTAGGATTCTGGGGTTTGATCAACAAGTCTTTGCATTCCTGTGATGATTTTATTATGGACCTGGCCACCAACTAATGGCCCTCCAAGGTAGTGGCTCTTTCTCTGTGAATTCAATTGAATCTAGAAGCCACAGAGCTTCCCATAGAAGTCTCACCAAATTGCTTTTATCCAGCCCACTTGCCAGTTGCCCATTTTACCTGGCCATGCCTTTCAACAAGCCAGCTTCTCCTAGTGGCCAGACCACAGTGTAACATTTTGTGCACCACAATGAAGGCATTCTCACTACTAACCACCCAAACTGAGGAATGATCTTTTCTCCTTTTTTCCTCTCTTGTACAATTATGTCTCTAGGGTCTCCCTGACTAGAATATCACTGCAGTTGAGGGCAGATTTTTAAATGCCTGGACTTTCACTTTGGGCATCTTTGTATCGGTCATTGGAACAGCTAGTAATAAACTCTATCTCAAGCATTAACCATCGCAATTTTAACTATTATGGAGGTGGGGATGAGGAATGTAACCATTCTGGAGAAGCAACCAATTAAGTAAGACCCTAACAACATGTTGATGACATACTTGCCCTGGATTGTGTCCTTGTTGCCTGTCGTGCAATCAATAAACACTTATTGAATGTTTTCTGTATTCAAGGTCATTCAACTTCCAGGGACTCTGGTTCTTCAGAATGTCATTTCTATTTGCTGCAGCTGCTTCTGTTTTTTTGAATCGCATCTGCTCCTGCTTTTGTTATCCAGCTGCTGGACTAGCTGCTTGTGCCATTGCTGGACTCCCGCCTGCCCTAACTTCTAATGGACACTACCAGGTCCTGGCTCTGCCCTTCTCATCAGACCAGACTCCTGAACTCCATAATTTTTTCCATTTTTTGATCCTCTGCCTGGCTCTGTGATGCATTGTATTGCCTGGCCCTGACTTGCAGAGTCTCCTGGAAATTCAGATCCTGTGATAAGTCTGACTTGCCATGTTCTGATTCTTGTGCCCTGGCCCCTGAACTCCAGACTCTCATCTTACAGTAGATTCTCAAATTCTTCACCAACTGGCACTTACTTTCATCAAACAAAAAGCAAACTTCCTTCTAGGCTAGCTCGCAAGCAATGTGATGCGGAAAAGATCATAAGACATTACCTATGATGATCAGAGAAGAGCCGTTCAACAGATTGAAAAGAGCCATGTGCATTTTGCCCAGGCAGCCCTCTAAGAAGGCCCCTGAGAGTCAGGCCAGCGCAGACCACAGCCTTCATCAAAATGAACTAACCCTGGGGCTGGCCCGGTGGCACAGCAGTTAAGTTTGCACGTTCCGCTTCTCTGCGGCCCAGGGTTCACTGGCGCGAATTCCGGGTGCACACATGGCACCACTTGGCAAAAGCCATGCTGTGGTAGGCATCCCATATATAAAGTAGAGGAAGATGGGCATGGATGTTAGCTCAGGGTCAGTCTTCCTCAGCAAAAAGAGGAGGATTGGCAGCAGTTAGCTCAGGGCTAATCTTCCTCAAAGAGAAAAAAACATGAACTGACCCCATTGTGCAGCCTACTGACTGTGCAATTGTCAATGGGACCAGAATCTTCCAGACTTTAATCCATTGATAACAGTAATAGTAATAGTTAACATGTATTCATTCATTTATTCAACAAATATAATTGAGTGCCTATTTTGTGCCAGGTACATAGTAGCTGTATGTCTCTGCCCTCATAGAACTTACATTCTAACAGGGACAGGCAGAAAATAAACATTTAAACAAAATATTATTTAATAATATAATTTTAGGGAGTGTTTAGTGCTACAAAGAAAATTAAACAAAACAATGGGATAGAGAATAATTGGCAGAGCTGCTTTTGGTAGAGTGACCAAGGAAAACCTCTCTGAGAAAGTGACATTTGAGCTGAGACTTCATTGATGATAAGGAGACAGCCATACAAAGATCCTGATGACGACCACTCCCAGACAGAAGGAATCTTTAAAACATTTCCCACACACCCCCAAAATGAACCCAAGAACAAACCCCTAAACCTCTCAAAATACACTGGACTCTGAAAACAGCACATTTTGAGCAATGGGAAAAGTACATACATTCTTAAAGTAGCATTTCTTATGTTCTGCACCTCTTCTGTGTGTTTGGGAAATGGTTGATTTGTGCCACCCATAAGCTAGCAGCATTTTATTGCTGTATGCACAGATTTCTGAATATAAGACAAAGGAAACCCTAGACACCAAAAAAATCATTGCAAAGTTACACATTTGGATGAGGAGACTATGAGAGGAAACAGTAATTTGTGAAGCCATCTAATATAGAATAATGCAGTGATTTGAGGAGGTCAGACAGACCTGGATTTGAATTCTGGCTTAGCTCTTGTGGCAGGATGACCTTGGGTAAGTCACTCAGTCTCTTAAGCTCTGTTTCCTCAGCAGTAACGATAAAGTTTTTAGAAGGATCATAATGACAATGTGTGTAAAAGTGCCTAGTATGCTTATATAGTAAGTTCTCAATAATGGTTAGTTCATGTAACATTAAAAATTATTCAGGGGGCCAGCGCCGTGGCCCAGTGGTTAAGTTCGCGCGCTCCACTGCAGTGGCCCAGGGTTTCGCCAGTTCGGATCCTGGGCATGGACATGGCATCACTCATCAGGCCACGTTGAGGCAGTGTCCCACATGCCACAACTAGAAGGACCTACAACTAAAATATGCAACTATGTACTTGGGGGGGGGGGTGGTTGGGGAGAAAAAGCAGGAAAAAAAAGATTGGCAACAGTTGTTAGCTCAGGTGCCAATCTTTTAAAAAAAAATTATCCATATAAAGTGTTAATTCAAGAAACCTTAAGCTTCCTCCACTGAGCTGAGCACCATTCTGGGCCCTGTGGGAACCACAAAAGAAGTATCAGAAATGTTTACTCAGCAAGTGTCAGAGCTGAGATTTTAATCCAGAGAAATTTAACCCAAGCACCATATTCTTAACCACTGCATTTCCTGCCTCTATGTAATTAGAAAGGTGGTCTGAAGAAGAAGGAGAAAGTTTGGTAGCGGAAGTAGCCCTTGAAATACGTTTTTGAAAAATTTAGGCTCTGTGTAGACTGAGAAGAGGGAAATGGTATTCCACGTGGAAAGACACAGCATAAGACGCAGAAACAAACTGACCTGGCTGGTTTGTGTTGGAGAAGAGACCAAAATGTGTGAGATCCTCAGTCTACCCGTTGAGGTGCCAATCTGGCAGCCCCCTCGTAAAGCACATCACTTCACGTTTTTGCTTTCTTTTCTTACTCTTCCTAGAGAATTAACTAATCTGCTCTTTGATCTCTTTCAGGCTCTTTGAAACCCTTCAGTCACTCTTCTGGTCTGTATTTGGCCTTTTAAATCTCTATGTCACCAATGTGAAAGCGAGACACGAGTTCACAGAGTTTGTGGGAGCTACCATGTTTGGGACGTACAACGTCATCTCCCTGGTAGTGCTGCTGAACATGCTGATCGCCATGATGAACAACTCCTACCAGCTTATTGCTGTGAGTAGCTTTGCTTTACAAGGGTAGTGACCTTGGTTTCAGAAATGGTTGTGTTGACATGGTGCCCATTGGAAGCTCAATGAAACAGCCTGTATGCCTCAATTATTTTACACTAGCTTTCCCAGTTGTTAGATTGAATTTTTTCTTTCCAAGGCAACTCAGTTTGGACTCTTAGTGCTTTGAATCTCAGTAACCTAGAAGAAGAAGTTCTAGTTAGTAAGACTTTCTGGTTACGTATTAAAAATATTTTTAAATCTCTGAATCCATTTTCTTGCCTTAGTAAGGAGAGCTCAGGAAGTATGAGCACAGTTTGGCTACAACTTGTCATCTCACTAATCTCCAGGGTTGATTGAGCTGTTCCGGTTCTCCAGGCAGGAGGGCCTTATCTCTCTTCACTCCAAACATATCCCTCCCCAAATTGAACATTTCATTGCCAAGGACAACCTTCTCAGACAGAGAGTAGCTATTCTTTGATCAAGAATATATGAGTAACTGCAATCCACTGTGAGACACTCTTAAGTAGAGTCCATCACTGAATCTTTTTAGACCATCATGTTACCATTTGGATCAGCAGTGTTTATTACTCTAAACAAGAAATGGCAAAAGTATTAGGACATGGGATCTGTCCAAACTCTGCCCTGGTTTTTGATGCCGATGTAAATATCTAACTTTAGCTTATTTTCTTATGATCTGCCTATCATTTATAGAAATGGAGTATCAACAAAGGAGTTCTGACTATCTGAGGTCCTGTTTAGTTGAGTACCAGTGAATTTGGACATTTAGCTCATATCAAGTAACTAGATCATCCCCGTGGGTCCATCTGTTGCTGAAAGTTTTTGCTATAGCAGAGAAGGCATAGAAAGAAAAGACCTGAGTCCTTTCTTCTTTCATAGATGCTATTTCTCAGATTTGTTTTGCCACTGAGGAGTCAGTTAACCTATAGAAAAGAAGCTTAAATTATTGGTTACATATGTATGTATATGTGTGTGTATATAAATACTCACATATGTACACAGATATTGTCCATATTTTATAAATATTATTGGTGGTAGTGAATATCTGTGATCCATGTCCACTAAGGACAAACCAAAAAGGAATGGGTTTATGTTGTAGTGGGAGACTTTGGGGTTATCCTAGCCATAAATGGCAATGAAGTATATTCCTCTAGGTGGGTTTGTAGAATTTCTCTCACTGGAGAGTTTAAAAAATCAGAATATAAAATTATCGACTAGGATGGTTTAGATCTTAGGTATTTAGGTGGGGAATATGGGAGGGGAGTATAGTGAAAAAATGTATTAGGAGCTAGAAGACCAGGGACTCTAGTCCTAGTTCTGTCATTTATAACTGTGTGACCTGGGGTAACTTACTTTCCATTTTTGGACCTCAGTTTCTTCATCCAAAGAATTAGGGGGTTGAAATGGATGGTGTTTTTTTAGTTTTATTGAGTTGTAATTGACATATAACATTGTGTAAGTTTAAAGTGGACAATGTGATGATTTAATACACAAATATCTTGCAAAATGATTACCATAACAAGGTTAGTTAAGACATCCATCACCTCACGTAAATTACTTTTTCTTGTGGTGAGAACACTTAAGATATGCTCTCAGTAACTTTCAAGTATACAATACAGTCTTGTTAGCTATAGTCACCATGTTGTACGTTAGTTCCCCAGAACTTATTCATCTTCTAACTGGAAGTTTATACCCTTTGACCAACATCTCCCCATTTCCCTCAGCCCTAGGCCCCTGGTAACCACTATTCTACTCTCTGTTTCTGTGAGTTTGGCTTTTTTTTTCTTTTAGGAAGATTAGCCCTGAGCTAACTACTGCCAGTCCTCCTCTTTTTGCTGAGGAAGACTGGTCCTGAGCTAACATCCATGCCCATCTTCCTCTACTTTATATGTGGGATGCCTACCACAGTGTGGCTTCCCAAGCGGTGCCATGTCCACACCCGGGATCCGAACCGGCGAACCCCGGGCCGCCAAGAAGCAGAACATGCAAACTTGACCGCTGTACCACCAGGGCGGCCCCTGAGTTTGGCTTTTTTAGGTTGCACATGTAACTGAGATCATACAGTATTTGTCTTTCTCTGTCTGACTTATTTCACTTAGCATAATTCCCTCCCGTTTCATCCCTGTTGAAATAAATGGCAGGATTTCCTTCTTTCTCATGGCTGAATAATATTCCATTGTGTACATATATATATATATATCATATTTTCTTTATCCTTTCATCCATTGATGGACACTTACATTGTTTCCATGTCTTGGCTATTGTGAATAATTCTGCAATGAACATGGGGTATCTCTTCAAGATAGTGATTTCATTTCCTTTGGATATGTACCCAGAAGTGGAATTGCTGGATCATATGATAGTTCTATTTTTAATTTTTTAAGGAACCTCCAAACTGTTTTCCATAGCGGCTGCACCAATTTACAATCCCACCAACAGTGTGCAAGCGTTCCCTTTTCTCCACATCCTCACCAACACTTGTTCTCTCGTGTCTTTTTGATGATAGCCATCCTAACAGATGTGATATGATATCTCATTGTAGTTTTGATTTGCATTTCCCTGATGATTAGTGATGCTGAGCACCTTTTCGTGTACCTGTTGGCCATTTGTATATCTGACTCGATGGTTTTTAATATCCCTGCCAGCTCTAGTATCCTGTGAGTCTGGGTGTCTACAGATGAACAGGATAGGCTTGCAATGTCCTTTCTAGCTCTGAAATTCTATTCATCTGTTGCTTTGGAAATGTAATATAGTTCAATTTCATTCTTTCCCCAAACCAGATAGTTCAAACCCAACTAGACTAAGAACTCTGAAATAATCTGTGCTCACTCTTAGTCTGTCTCTATAAGGGAGATAGGCATAGAATCTCAGGGGGTTATTTTTCTGCCCCTATGTCTGGCATCCTAACCCCCTACTCCTGTCAATGATGGCAGTATTCATGCTGAGGCATTTGTCATTTTCTCCTTGGGTGTCTTGCAACTGAATGCTCCTAAGGGCAGTTGAAAAGGGAGAGATTTTCTTGTCACCTAATGCAGGGCTGTAGTGTCTCCCACAGAGCTCAGTGACATTTTGCTAGGAAGGGTGGCAATCATCAACTCCAGCTCTCTTGTCACCGCCTGCTGGTAGTAAGTTGTGTTTTAATGCCACCTATTGCTGCACTTGAAGAAAACACCTTGGCTTGGGGAGGGGGTGGGTTGTATGGAGACGGCCTGAATGGGGTCTTGAATACTACCTGCTGCCTTGGGATCCTCTGGTAATGTGTCTTTATCATTTGGAACTGAATCCTGTGGGATCCTGATATGGGACACCCTGATTGCAAAAATATCTGCATCTGTTTAAGTGGTAAAGCCCAGCAAATAGGTTTGACTGATATGGGGGAAAGGTTACAGGAAGGGAAGCCACTGAAGATAAATCTCTCCTACTTCAAAAGGTATCATAGGCTGACGCAATCTAAGTAGAGGCTCAGTTGTTGACTTGCTTCGCTGTGACCCTGTCCAGTGTACATTCTAGGACAGGGCTCAAGAACACCAGGTAATAGCAATCGCTTGAACAGTTGAGCCGTTTCTCAGTGTTCTGTGCAGGCTGCAGAGCTGTTGGTGGAGTGGATATATGGCTCTATGGCAATTTGTATTTCTACGCCAGAGAAGGCTCCACTGCAATAGTGCGTAGAGTCAGCCTCAAGATACGGGGAAGTAGGGAATCACTCCAAGCCTGCGCTCTGTGGTCCCAGCGAGCATCAGCAGGTGAAGCCAGCCATATTGTATATTATTATTGTTGTTTGCAATTAGCAAACATTTATATCTCCCTCAAGCTGCTTATTTCCCTCTGTGACACTTCTTTCAACAAACCCACCTTGTCACTGATGTTCCGGAAGTGTATGCTCCCAGTTCCATCAAGTGAAACTGCCCCTGATGCCATTTTAATCCAACTCACCCATATAAAAATATTAGGTGGAAGAGAGAGATCAGTCCCACAAAGTTCATTGACCTTAGGCCCTATTCCTACCCCCAACTCACCCACACGGGGCATCTCTGTTGCCTGAGGTTGGTCCTTCTAAAACATGAGGCTCATGATGATCCGTGATATAGCCTCATTCAGCAAGTTAATAAGAACCCTCCGTTTCTTTGGTTGCTGTGGAGCATTCACTCTAACACTGAGAGTAAGTAAATAGCACTTGCCTCACTGAGCCACATCTGCTGGACGGCTTCAGAAGAACCCAAATACATAGGATTAGTTGTCTCCCTTAGGGTGGCAGCATTTGGAGGCTCAGATGATACATGGGCTCTCCCACTGCAGAAGACAGCCATGCAAATGAAGACATTCATCAGAACAGACCCAGCACTGCAAAGACAGCAGGCAAGGCTGGAAGGGGCTGCTGTACATCATCAAAGCGCCAAGGAGGGCAGGTGGTCACCCTGCCCTCCCCCAGTCATCTGAGACCAACCTCAGACTCTCAGAGCATAGAGAAGAAAGCAGTGCTTCACACACTACACCATGATTTGTAACCCTCTAACCAGGCAGATAACAACTGCTATGTACTGATAGAGCACACAGTTGTCAAAATTTTGAAATATTTCCATACCAGTTATTAAATAGCTGTCACTCCAGCTGTTGCCTCTGGGACACTCCCCCCCCCCCCCCCCCACCACCTCACAATCCAGCAAGTAAAGGGTAACACCTGGAACTGCAGGTATTTTTCATGCCCCTGGTCCAGTGCTATTGGTGGCATACATTCTGATTGGTCAGTTTCTTGAATATCATTGTGGTAGGCAGAATCCTAAAATGCTCCCCCAAGATTTCCCACCCTAATTGTCAGGACTGTGAATATGATGAGATAACACACTTGCACATATGTTGCTTTACATGGCAATAGGGATTTTGCACATGTAATTAAGTTTACTAATCGGAGAGATTATCCAGGTGTGCCTAATCTAATCACATGAGTCCTTTAAAAGCAGAGTATTTTTCAGCTCGTGGCAGAAAAAG